ATATATATATATATATATATATAATTGGGTGAATATTTTTTTACAATGTTACTTATATTTTTTTGAAACTCTGATACATTTATGACAATGAAACGTACACGAAAAATGTCATCTAATCTAAAGCCAAGTTAGCGGTTGTATACGTGAAATTATTTAAAATTTTCTTGAGGGCACATTTTAAAGTTATTGAAATTGGCGAGATATCTGTACAACCTTTCAAGTTGATACTAGTAATAATGTATTATAAAATTTGATAAAAAATTATAATCATTTTTATTATTTACTGCCTAAATTAAACCTGTATCTAAAAGTCTAAACCAAACCTGATCCAAATCTAGCAAAACCTTTAGAAAATACGTAGTAAGCAATTACGTAGTAATAAATATTAAAAGTACTTTTGTGTGTGTGTTGAAGATTGAGTATCTGCAGAGAATGTTACACAAGATGTTAACCTTGGCAACATGTCTCAAGGCAATTAAAATCAGCAAGATCAATCGTTTGTAAATAATTACCGGTTATTATTGCGCTTTGAATTTTAAATCATTTAAATGTAAATAGAACAATATAGCGCAGTACATGCGTTGCACCACAGTTTCTTTAGTTTCCTGCGAAATTATACAAGATGTAAACTTATTTTTGGAGGTTAAAGAACTTGCAATAAATTAACTTGAATATTTTGTATACGTTGAAGTTTTTAACTTCTTTCGTTGTTCAATAGTAATATTTTAATTAAGAGTTCGTAGATTAGGAGGTAAATAATTATGACAGAAGTGGAATAGGATTAGGATAGCGAAGAAAAGAATGTGTACGATAATATAAAACCAGATTTGATTTTTGTTTTTTTTTCATTCAATTTTATTATATAAAACTACATTGATGTTTCATTCAAATGTGCGTTCAATCGCTTTGTACCAGCATGACATCTCGATTTTAATCTCACCGTTCGAAAATGGCTAACAATCCTTTTGCTTGACTTGTTCGATCGAACTTAGTTTAGAATGCGTATATTTTAACGAAGAACAGGTACCATGACGTAAATAAGCGAGCTAGTTTCGTCATTTGCGTCTGTAGTTCGTAGTAGCTCGCATGTGTTTTGCCGTCGTAAATCTACCTTTAGTAGCACCGTATTGAAAAATAATCATCATGTCCTTTCTCTTTTTCTCCTTAAAATTTATCTTGTTCAAATTTAGTTTTGCCTCTCTCTTCTCTCTTTCACTTTTTCCCATTTTCTTTTACTTTTCTTCGGTTCAAGCGTTTGAGAAAGACTCGAAGGAAAATATTTCATGTTTCCGTTATAATTTGTTGGCACGTATGTAAATATATACACATCTATTTAGAAAACATAAATTTATTTAAAAGATACCGGTTGAACAGTAAAGTATTTTTCTCCGAGTGTTCCCAAAAAACGGGACGTCTATTCGCATTCTCAATTTGTATCTATGCGTGTAAAAGAAAGCGTTTTACTTTACATTTTTCGTTTGTGTTGGGTAAAAAATAGTCTATTTGCCCCCTTGAAACAAACATTATTGTCAAGATATATTTATAGCCTAATCTTTTAGTGTGATTCTCCTACTGATTTTTACAAATTTTAGGCATACATTGCGCTTGCGTACGCGTGCCAAGAGAAAAAGGGACAAAAAAATCGTGTTTTAACATATGCATGTGTGTATCTAACGGCAATATCCCTAAAGAAAACTCCTACGCTGAAAGATGTGTGAATCTGACTTTCATTTCGAGATCTCTCGAATCGTTTTGTGTGTACATACATAGTGAAAATACATTTCGCAGTGTCGATAATCGGCTAACTTCGGTGGAAGACTCGCAGAATGGGGCTACAGCAGTAACTATCATAGCGACATATGTACCGACTTCTACAATGCCACACTGTGACTGATTTTGTTGAGTGATCGAGAATGCGCTATTACAAGGAGGGTCGTCCAGAGTGCCCCACCCTCTTCATCTTGTTAACAAGTTATTCAAAGCGTTCAAAAATAGTTCGTGTGGACATTACTCGATATTTAAATTATCTACTTAATTCCCATGGTACACGAAGGCAACTATTCGAAGACACATGCACATTGTATCGACGTTACGAATTATTGTTAGGTTTACATGTGTATTTCGTTAATTTCGTAACATATGTATAGATACATATGTGCCTTACTTACTGATTAAAAAGTCAGTGTGATCAATCTGAAACAGCACTTTAAATTTCTTTCTTCGTATCCCAACTCGGAGACGCCTTTTTTTCTTTCTTTGTTACTCTATCTCTAATCAAACTTTTCGCGAAAATACGGACCGTCCGTTGTTTTAAATTTATTTCTTTCTTTCTTCAACTAGGGACTATCTCTTAAGATCTCGCGTATGTATAATACACAGTCCAATTATGATAAACTTATTTTTTCAACGACTAGATGAACGAGGAAAATAATATCACGGGATCGTTATAATACGAGACTAAATAGTGAATCGAATCGAATCGAATCGAATCGAATCGAATCGAATCGAATAGAATAAAATTCGAGTCAATTGGAGCAAAAACATTTCGGATGAAAGGATATGCTTGTTCTAATTAATCTGATTATCACGAAATATAATATGTATATATCGCGAAAGCATAACTTCATTAAGCATTGGCCTTGATACATATATATTTTTTCGATGTATTGCTTTCTTTTATTCGTAAAGAACAGAAAAACCTTGTCATATGCTATACTAACAAAGCGATTAACTAACTTTTAACTCTTTTTTATGCAGGGTGTATGTAAAAACATGGTGTATGTAACGACGACAATAACCACGGAAACTATGACGACGACGACAGCGACGAAGACGATGTCGATGATGATATGGTTAATGACGATGGTGACGATGTCGATAACGATAACGTTAATATCAATGATGATAAAAACGACGATAACGATGATAAAGATGCTGATCACTGTTGATGATGACTTCTGATTTTTTTTTTTTCTTTTTAAGAGAGAATATTTTGTACGATGGTATCGATAACGATCGTCGTCTTATTGGAAATAATCGAGAAAATTTTTGCACTCTATTAGAGAACGTAATTTTCACGGAGCGATCGTTTGATCGGAATCTTGATCTCCGACGAGATAGAGGAATTGGAAAGCAATTGCCAATAAACTAATGCCTAATAGATCTCCCATTGCCGTCAGATACGGAATTGCTGAATTGTCGGGATCGATTTTTCGTTTCCACATCCAATGTATCATTATGTAAGCAATGTACAAGAGAGCGGCCACCTGCAGCATGGCGGCACACAGGTAAACAAAAACGAAGAGTGGCGTTAGCGAAGTGTTGCCGTCCTTCATATAATTAATCAGGTAAATGAAAATTATATGCCCTGGTATAACCATCGCCATTA